GTACATCACGCATTTCGTTTACATATTCTTCAACATCCCTATAGATATTAATTAATTTACACACTTATTATGATATATTACTAGACATTGTGCTTGCGCTTTAGAAATTACATTAACTACCTTTGATGCAATTATCGTTATTGTTTAACAATAAAGGCTTATATCGTGCTAGACAATTGGTGACATTCTGTTATTAAGAAAATAATGAAATATAACGGTATATGGTAATTTCGCTTTCATCATTGATACTTTATAAATACATAGAATCAACAAAATAAAGTTGAATGATCAACAAAAAAAAAGCTTCAAATTAAAATCATCGATCAACATTAATTGATCATCATATAGCATATTAAAAATTATTAAATTATTTCAAAGATTCCAATTCAAAATGCAAAATGACCGTATGAAAGAAATTGATTTATTGTTATCAAAAACCGCATTCTCTTCTAAGATACAAGTACACCTGTTCTATTTGCGCATACAGGCTTCTCTTTGAGTTTGAAAAACAACAATCGTTCGACAAAAGAAAAAAATGTACACAGTTTAATTCGATCAATTTCAGTGTCATCTCTCTGTTATCATATCACAAACCTATCAATCATATCATGCATTAATTGAGAATCAACTAAAACAGAAGAAATTGAATACGGAAAAAAATAGATCATATAAACTAAAGATTAAATATAAATAAGACAAGAATAAAAAATTAAAAGAAAGAAAATAAAAGTATTACCTCGGGGCTCGGCGTGGACGACCTTCGTTCGTCCTCCTCTTTCACTTCCGGCTCCATGGCATCCTCCTTGCTGGTTTCAGCGATTACGGAACCCAGGTACAATCTTGGCCTGATGTTGGCATTGACGGGTAGAAAAGTGGAAGAGGATAAAGGCGTTTTCAGAGTGTTTTTCACCAGCGAACATCTCGTGGATGTCGTCGCCGCTGCGGCGACAGGGTTGAACGCTGCGCCGTCCACGGACGACTCCAGCTCGTGCGCCGCGACGCCGGACAGGGGCGCAGATATCTCGATATTGTGAGGGCGCCGTTGAGCCCTCCACGAGCCGACACCTTCCACGCCGACGCCTACCGGTCCGTGAGACACGCGACACTCCTCAGACAAGGATCTTTCCGGTCTCTTTTGGCAATCATCCGCGTCCTCCTGTAACAATAATAATCAGAGATAAAAAGACAAATTTATTGTTGAGGCTTTGGATAGATATTTGTTTAGGATGATTTTTTGAACATTTTTCTTTTAAGAATTTGCATAAAAATTAAAAATAATGAAGATTTGAATATTATAAGAATAAATCTTCTAAAAGGTTTATAATATATATTTATTATGGAATAATATTTTAATATTTTAATTCGATAAAATAAATTAGATTACTTAAATGATTTTCATTTTTATGCATTTATTTGAAATCTTTATTAAAGAAATTTCATTGTTAGTTTTTATTTCAATTTGATTGGGATAGATATTGAAATAACTAACTATTATGTCTAATTTTAAAGTATGAATATCTGCAAATAAGATATATTGAAATTTTTGCTTTTAGAAAGATTTTCCAGATATATATAAATTGTAAATCTGCCAAGATATGATTTTAGATAAAATATTTAATAGAAGAAATTTAATAGAAGAATGAAAACTTAGATTGCAGAGAATTGGGTAACAAGATGTAATGCTAACGTTTGCAATTCTTTGAAAGATGTTTTCAATCTTTTGAATCTTTCCTCTTTTTTTTTTTTGCAAAAATATCAAGCAATCTGAAATTATTAGACTGCATATAATCTATAAAATATAGTGTTTGTGGTAATAGGAAACTGATTTATTGTGTGAATAATCATACACTCAATCGATATTTTTTTGTATACAAAATGTGATTGTTTCCTTCGATCGGTACAAGTCTGTACAAGTTGTCACAATATTCTTCGATTCAATATTTAATAATTCATTATATGAGCCATATAATATACATAATACATATAATATATATTTTAATAAAATTATAGATATTGTGTTTTATATGTATAAGTTTACTCTAGTATTTTTTATTTAATTTTTTTTATATTAAATCGTATTAAATAATCAAAATTACATATATTAGAAATACAGAAATATTAGAAATGCATAATACAGAAATTTGCACATTTGTAATACAAAAATTACAAAATTGCAAAATTTGAAAAGAAAAAATAATACATAAATTGCGTAATTTTATAAAATTTGAGAATAAAATTAGTACAATTTTTTTTATATAAAACCATTATGCGCGAAATTTAAGAGGAAATTTATTACTATTGGGATTGTAATACTTACAATATAATATAAAATTAAAATTTTTTAATAAAGATACTATAAATTATCTGACTATATAAGAAAATTGATTATATTTTCATACTTACAGATATTAAGATGAAGGTTATATGTATTCTTTTATATGGGTGCATATTCTTCATTGCATTAATTAAGATATAATCATTTATGGGAAAATTTTAATGCATTCATTAAAATGATATGTTTTTATTTAAGAAAAATAAATCGTATGTACCATTTTAGCAACTATATTTAATAATATCCATTAATATTTATAATCCTTTAAAAGTACAAAAATTTCTTATAATTATAATATATAAAATTTAGATAATATAATCATACATACCATATATATGTATATATAAATACAGGAACAAAAAAATATTTGATACTATCACATTATAATGACAATCAATATAATGTTTAGATTATAATTTGTTATATAACGAAGCGTGGGCAGTGCGTCCTTATCATGTAACATCCTCATGTAGAGAAATATAATGTCACGAATGTCACTCACAATTACTTGCGCTAAAAATAAATTCGTATCTTGCGAACATGAAAATTCTCCGAACAAATATCTGATATAAAACATTGATATTCAATGAATCATTTTTCAGTTATTGAAAATTTTTTCTATAGAAATTAATCAGATTATGAATAAATATTTTATTATAATTATATTCATGTATTTAAGTATTAAAATACTGAGTATAAAAATATTTAGAAATATAAAAATTAGAAAAATATTTCTTTATTATATTTGAAGGGAAAAAAATATATATAGTTTTAAATTTATACTAGTAATTAAATTAATTATTATATATTACAGGAACTCATGAAAAAATATTTTATTTTTCTATGTTTCTTTTTTTTCTAAAAAGATTGCACTTATATTAAATAAAATTTTTTTATTTAAAAAAATTTCTCAATCTTTAATATTACATTAATAAAAATGTTAAATTTACTTATTATATTATATTCTTTGAATTTTTTGGTACATAATTCTATGTCAAATATCATAATTTTAATTGAAATGATGAATTTGTTAAATTTTTAAAAAATTTTTAATTTTAAACTTCAAAATCAAATTTGTCATATGAATCCTAAAGAAATTGATATTGAATCATAACCTATATTTCCACTTTCTCATAAATCACAATATTACCTTTTTATGTATTTTTTGTAGAAAGAAAAAGAATGAAGAATAACGTGATGAAAAATATGAATCTTTCGACCAACCAAACAGTTTATTCCGTCATGAAACGCTTGAAACTGATCCAAAAACTGAAGAGCAATCGCGCGATATTGTCAGGCTTAACACCATACGTCCGGGGATTATTGCTTTCACATATTTCGCGGAGTTCATTCATTTTTATCCCACTTAATTTAGACTTCGTAACTGTGTCCATTCCCCCAGTTTCGTTCTCTTTGAGCAAAGCAAACAAATATAGCTGGGGAAAGCAGCGGTATCGCTCGAATTCGCATCGAAATCCCGCCAATTTCGATGCACTTTCTCTCAAGTTCACGGACGTTCCTCTCAAGCTTCTTTCTTTGCCCGTCAGTCGCGTCGTAATCGGCAAAGTTTAAAGTCGATCCAGACGACACGGAACGTTTACGCTGCGTGCAAGAAGCAATTAACTCTTCGCGTTCTGGGACAGAAAAAGGTTATCGATGCCACGACCTGAAACGTCTTGAAATGCGGAATATCCTGCGGAATTAAGGGAATTTACGTCCCCTGAATATTAATGGAAGTGGATTGAAAATTGTGTCTTAAATACTCTAAATATTAAAAATCATGTATACTTAATGCTAGAATACATGATCTGTAGCATATATATATATATATATATATATATATATATATATATATATATATATATATTATATATATATATATATAGTATATATAGTAG